ATTCCTTTTTATTATGTTATTTCCTAATTCTATTCACTCTGCTGCTTCAACTACATTTCCCAGTGTTCTTTGCGGTTACTGTCACGTGGCCCGCGGGTATTACTGATTCATGACGCCGCGGGTCACGTGACAAGATTCTAACCCGCCCTTCTGCTCCCCAGTCCGTGCGTGCCGTCTTCTTTAGTTGTGGCCGCACGGACTGTGTGTATGCATATCGGCGGTCACGTGACCCGGCACTACATGCCCCAAGGTGCATTGCGGGTCACGTGACTCGCACGAAACCGGAAATTTTATTTTAATTATTTTCCCACACAATATAATGCTCGTTTTTTATATATTTGTATATACATATCATCCTATGTTTATAAACATTTATAATTTATATTATTCTTCACCTTTTGTATGTATATTCTCTATTTATATTTTGTATCATTTCTATTGGTTGATCATTTTTTTGGCGCCAATTTTAAATGTTTGTACTAGCTATATATACTTCTAATGTGCCAGGTATCTATACTATTCCAATTTGATAAAGCCTCTACGGCGAAACGCGTTATTGGTTTTAATATACTGTACTAATAAATAATTTTATAATTATTACTTTTAACCTCATTTATTGTTCCTGGCATATCCTAAGGTGGGGATTATACCACCCACGCGAATAAAAGAGTGCAGATTGACCTGCACTCCACTTGTGAGTATATTTTATTTATTTTTTATCCTTCTTATTAACTACCTCACCAGAGAGCACTATCGGCTGTTTCTATTTTCTTTCCCTGAGAATTTGGACACCAGGATGCTCCAGGAGGACAAGCACCCCTATAAGCGGAGGGTTATCCGCCGTATGCCCATCATACCAGAGCTGGTCTTAGCTCATGGAAATGTGAGTGTGTAATTTATATTTTATTCAAATATTATTTATTTATACACTCTGCACAATTGGCTCTCTCCCATTGTGTCTTTCATATCGTGAGACGAACGACCACTGCTAAGGAAGACACCATATCAGTCGAAACAACACCTATTATTGGGACTCTCCTATTAGAACATTTTATTATTATTTTATCTGAAATCATTTTATCTGGACTTGGTTTAATCATTTTCTTGGCGCAGCCTTATTCTTTGTTTTTGTATATAGAGCTACAGCTTTCCTGGAAACTCCTGGAGTTGTAATGAAGCAAGGGTCAGTTGTTCCACATGCTCAGGATAAATAAAAAAAATCATAATAAATAAATAAAAAATATGTTTTTATTTTATTTTTTAAAAGATGGGGCGGGGGGGTCTTGGTCAATCTTGATAAAGAATGTGATTCTGGATCCGTAGTATTATTACTTATTGGCCTCAAGTTCACCAAAAATAATGAACTCTAGGATTCTATTTCAACAACCCAAAGAAGCACTCTTCTTTTTCAGTTTGGAGACGCTCAGACTCACAGCTAATACTGTAAGACCACAAGTTATCCCTATAGTGCTGCCACAACCAGGCAGCACTATAAGGATAAACTCCGTGAAACGTGTGGAAGCACCTCTAATGGCTTTCTGGTAGAACGCCATTAGAGGCACTCTTAACTAGATATAAAACAGAAACTACAATATTTTACATTGCAGAGTTAAGGGGACAGAGACAGTGCACCCAGACCACTTAAATAAAATGAAGTAGTCTAGGTGCCTACAGAGTCCCTTTAAAGTTAAACTTACAGAGTATGAGATAAAAACGTATAAAGCAAGTTAACATGGGTTGAAAACTAAACCATCTTCTGCATAAACGGAGAAGAAAACTGATTTACTCCTAAATTGCAGCAAATTGAACAGTGAGACTGCAGGGACATGATCTATACACCAAAACTGCATCATTGAGCTAAAGTTATTTTGGTGAGTTTAGTGTCCCTTTAAATGTAAAAATTCTAGGAAGTGACAGTACCCCTTTAAAGTACTGGAGTAACTGCCTTAGCAGTGCTGCAAGACTACATATACCACAATCCTCTGCCAACCATTATGAAATGGTGCCCAGCAGCCAGCTCAAGGGGTGGTGGGCAAGGTTGAACATCACCGGTTTAAAGGCAACATTTATCAGGTCTGCCACTCTTCACACATGTAGTGGTGCACAAAAGCCAATTTTATGGATGGAATCTGTAACCTTGGGAGGCTTCAGGCCCAATACAAGAGAACAAGGTATCTGCAAACAGATCATTCATTAAAATACATCCCACCTCCCAAGGTCTTATTTTGCCACAACGTTGACATGGAGCTCAATATTTATCTCAGGGAAAGGGTTAATCACACAGCATGTAGCTTTCTTTATTCTTTCCCTTTAAAACTAAAACAAAATCAGCTTTATAATTTCATTATTCCAGCTACAGTCAGCCAGGTTTATGTATAAAATCATATTACCCAGGTATATGTTACTGCTCAAATTTGCATATGTCAACATTCCCATTTTTTTTTCTGATCTAAGAGGATGTTGCCATTTGAATCAGTTTGTTAAACCGACAGACATTCACAAAAGTGAGAATTCAAGGTTAATTTCAAATTCGAAAAGGTCAATGTTGCTGAACTGGAAAAAAAAGTCTCAAAGTCAGCTATGCTTCCATTTTGGCTAGTTTGACATAACCAGATAGTCTCATTCTCATTGTAAAGGTGTACGGTGTGTCTGACATAAAACCAGATATCAAATCTGCCTTGAAACACAACATGTAGAAAAGGCTCATCGTCTCAAACACTAAGGTTTTTTGATCCCACGACCAATTTCTTTCAAAACAACAGATATGGGCATTTCAGCTTTCAAAGCAGAACTTTGTAAAACCATATGCACTTAAAGGACTACTCTAGGCACCCAGACCACTTCAGCTTAATGAAGTGGTCTGGGTGCCAGGTCCCTCTAGGATTAACCCCTTTTTTTTTTATAATTAATTAATCCAGCCTCCAAATCCTCTAGTGGCTGTCTCATTGAGAACACGCAAGCGTCCATAGGAAAGCATCGTAAATGCTTTCCTATGAGACCGGCTGAAAGCGCGCGCAGCTCCTGCCGCGCATGCGCATTCAGCCGAAGAGGAGGATCAGAGGCGGAGAGCTCCCCCTTTCCTCGCCATCCAGCCCGGCGGAGGGGGGCCCTGAGGGTGGGGGCACCCTCACGGCACTATAGTGGACCTTTAATATGCTGCTGCTTTTCAGAAAATAATTTTTTCTTGTATAATTAGGCAGGCTGTAAGCATGGTGGCAATAGTAACTGGACCAAATGCACTTACCCGCTGCATCTTACCACAGAGGGCTGATTGCAAGTAAAAGAACTGTAAAGGCTCCTGATGCGATAAATACCAGTGTTTGATAGCTTGTTACAAGGGTAATACAGAGCACGGTCAGCCGTTACAAGGATAATACAGAGCACAGTCAATTATTACAAGGATAATTCAGAGTGCAGTGTTTTAGTAAGAAATATCCCAGTGAAGACTGATTAGGGAAGGAAGGGTTTAAAGAAAACATGAACAGGATACACAAGGCTAAATTAAGAAGTTTGTGTATAGACTACAAACAAGATTATAAATTAGAAACTTGTAGATTTTTTTTTTGATTTTTTTTTTTATTCCATACTTGGCTTTGATATTCAGTCCCAAACGTGAAACTCCGATCAGGTACTACAGCAAAACGTACAGTATATACACAAACCATTAAAGTGTATAAAAACCTTGTATAAAATGTGTTCATTACCAAAGAGACAGGTAGACACTAGCTGTGCCTATTAATCAGATAAATTAATCAGTTTGCTTACAAAAACTAAAAATAATTTGATTTCTGTACCACTTTAAGGGTTACATTTCCACATTGAGTTATTATATAAAGAAATTGAAAGAACACTGTTTACAGGTTAACTTGCACAATCAGAATGTTACAGCAACATCTGGGCAAGCTTTGGGGACTGGTAAATAATCGTCCCTTGGTTAGGAAAGTCAATTCTGAATACACCCAAAAAGACTTTGCACACCGAGCAAGTACTCCAGGTTTAGTGAATAAGAATGCCCAGCAAATGGACTGGCTGGCTGCAGGGCCAAGACAGCCTTAGGACAAGAGAGTTTGCAAATGATGGAATGCAAATTAAAGAAGCAAAACCTGGGGATTTAAGGTCACACTGATGTTATAAAGTTTGACATGGTTGGGGTGTGCACTAATGACCAAATACTCTGCATATCTCTGTGTATGATCTATCCGGAAAGTAGAATAGGCTCTTACTAAATAAATTCTACAAAAATACCCAACAGAACCTTTTCTGTTTTATTTGCTGCTTTCAATGTAAACTCAAAACACTTCCACCATCCAACTAATAGCAAAAGATTACAACAGTATGAAGAAATGTCAACTATTTGCACATATGATCTTGTGCAAGTTGCTGCGCTACTGCTTGTGTAAGTATAATACCAGGTCAAGGTTTATTTTCTGAACCCCTCCCCACACCCCCCCAAATATGGTGGGGAAAAAAAGAAAAGAAAGTCGGAGATACTGCATGCGTATCAACAAGCATGAAGTACATCCTAGCTTTCATTTAAACCACTTAAATATTTGCAAAATATATGTCAGAGTTGTCTTTCTAACAAAAGTAGAAAAAGTTGAGAAATGAAAGGAAGAAAAAGGCAGTAAGTAAAAATCAGCCCTGTGCCATAAAAAGAGAAAGCTATTTACTTTGTGAAGACACTGTTTATAGGGTAAAAACACACCGTAGACAGAGCGTCAGCTCCATCCTTGCCACATCAGAGAAAATTAGATCTATATTTCTAAAATAAAACTCTCAGAAAACTGCAGCAGATCTGCCCCGGCACAGCAAGCTAATACAAAGAGTGCGGGGAGGGAAGAGGCAGGGTTTTTTATGGTTTATAATAAAACAGCGGATTTCGTCCCACATGCAACTCTTAAACTTTATTTTCTTGTTCACAACTCCCAGATTAGAAGTAAGCCGGACACCCATCCCCCCAGGCTCATACAGGATCCCCCCACCCCATCTTTAATGCAGCGCTGCTATCATCACAAATAGAGATCTGGAAGCTAATTGCTAGTGGGTGTGACGTCAGTGGTTACCACGGTAACAGTCAAAGTTCTGGAGTGCCTGTTGTAGCACTTCGTCATGTGTTCAGCCCTTTATACCCCCCTGCAGCAGTCAGACATCGCTCACTGCATCCTGTCTCAATCTGCAGCCAAGTTTAACCCTTTTCGGCCCAAACAGTGTTTGCAGCCTTTTTCTGCCAGGATACTCCCACCAGCCAAGGCATGGATTACAGACATTTAGTAATAAGAAGCTGAACCCCATACAGACTGGAATGCTTGCGTTGGCTGGTGGGAGTATAATTATCCAGCCTTCTCCCAAAATCTTCGCAGAGAAAGGCTAGAGTTAGGTTTATTCCGTGCTTTGCCCTATGGCTGAGGACACCACAATATATCATGTTATATTCCCATAAGAACTCACCACCAGGCTTAATCTCTCAGTAAATAGAACATTTCCACATTGAGATTTTTAGGTTTTGGTTTTTTTTTACTCTGTCCTTTGGCAAATGGCACAAAACTGTACACATGTGGAAAATGTTCCAGCAGCTGGTCGGCTGTCATTTACTCATAAAATAAAACATATCAGTGGGGGCGAAAAACATAGGACAAGTTATTTTCTTAAGTGGAAAAAAAAAACTGTCCTCTTTTTTCAGCAATCAATTGTCTATAAGTAAAGCACACTTTATTGTGGAAAAAAAAGGAGAGTTAACAAAAAAGGAAGTTAGACCAACACAATCCAATCACACTAGAAATGAAAGACAGACTTTTAAATAGGATTTATACAACATTATTAAAGTTTATTTATTAAACAAACAGTATAGGACAATGCTATTTACAATATGTATGCAAAACTAGTAGAGCAAAAAAAATAATGAACTCATCTCATCATCTAGAATCCAATTTAAGATAAGGACCTGCAATAGTAATAGATTGGTCTGGTTGGATCATTTTACAGCTGCAAGCAGAGACTGGATGTCACCTGTCACTGTGGGACACTCAATGAATATCCCTCACTTAAATATTCTTACTTAAAAAATAGCAGAAACAATTTATTTTTAAATACACTTGAACTTGCTTACCAGACTATCTAATGAAAAAAATAAAAGTGCACATATATTAAATATATTACACATTAATATAACAACCGTTCACAAAGGTTTGCATTTATCTTGGGAAAACTATGATGAAACTCATCTGCCATTGGCTAGCACAGTAAAACAGCAGCTCACACTATCCTAATTTTTGGATGATTGAGATATTGCATTTGTACACTGCCCAAAAGGTTTCTCTAAGTTCCCTTCTGTCCATCCCCTTTGCATAAAAAATAAAAAAATTAGAAATACAGACTACTCACCTCATTTTAAGTCCCAGGACTCCTCTCCGCCTTCGAAGAGGTCTGCAATTTTCCTCTAATCCACAGTTTCTCATAGAGAAGCAATGGGTTGGTGTACACATGCACAGCCAAATTGCGCATTCCTCCAACCAAATACTGCTATCCACAGCATCTGATTCCAGGACCAACTTTCCCTTGGTTTTGGAGGAGGAAGTGCTTCTAGTGGCTGTCAGGAAGACATGCATTAGACGTGGATTTAAACCTGCATTGTAAACATTGCAGGGTTAAAAGGACATGGCCACTGCATCCACATGTCTGGAGTCTGCATGTGAAGTGTTTCGCGATAAAATGCTGCACAGAAATTAAATAATTTGCTAAAAAGAAAATGACATGGCTCCACCTACATGACATCTATCAACCTCCAAAGAGTGGGAGTGACGTCAGTGGCGGAGGATCGGTTTAAAGCGAAGGCTTGGTGTCTGCACTGAAACGGAAGGCTAGTTGTAGCCTTTTTTCCCTCCACCAAGTGGGGACCAGGATAGAAAAAATTATTCTAACCAAAACCAGTGTGTTTGTAAACCACTTTTATTTTGTGACCCATATATTGGATTATAGATTAATTGGGTACATGATGCACAGAGATTCCAATCTAAGCCATATAAGGAATTAAAGTCTTCAGAAAGAGTAATATCATCAACATGTTTCTTCCATATAGTACGTGTTCAGAGACTCATCTTGGACGCACTCCTTCCTTTGCTAAACATCAGGGCCTAAATTTACCTCCACGCCACCACGTAGAACGTCATTTGCTGTTAGACCCGTGCACAAACTGATTCATTAGGCAGATATGAATAAATTAATTCGTTCGTTCATAGACAGTCAGGCATTTGATTTGTTTAGCCCAGCTGAAAGGGATTTTGTTTACTTCTGCTATTCTGTTCAAATAGAGCGTCACTTGCTATTCTGTTCAGTAGGCAGATTATATTAATAAAGTCTGTAGAAATTACATCTAACAAGGAGAACATTAATTCTACTAGTTTCTACTAAGAAACAAGATAATCACACCAACACAACTAAAAAACAAACACATAGAGCCAACATATTCCGCAGCACTATACAATAGATAAAGAAAAACAGACACTAAATTCAAGTCAAACATGATTGACATACTGCAAAAGTAGGTGAAGAGAGTGCATCCCAAACGAGTTTACAATCTGTGCATACACCTTATCACTATAGTGCTGAATGAGTTAAAAAATTCATTCTATAATGACAGAGCCTGCTTTACACAAAACAATTCTTTTTTTAAAGGATTTATTTTCATGCATTTCTAATTTTTCAAGGGTTATAATCTGATATTATAACTGACTTTTTAGTTGAAAAATACAAGCAATAAAAATAAAACACACACACGGATGGAGAAAATGATTTTCATAACAAAGACTCTGTTCGGTAAATAATGGCCAGTTTTATGGATTTCACAATTTGGTAGGAAATATATTTGCCTAACGCAGATCTCTTCTACAAGAGAATAAGAAAGTCCTAATTTCCGTGGTCATGGTGGACAAGAACGTTAAAAACAGAGGGACATGCGGTATAGAGAAGTGCCCAGAAACGCCAGGTCCGCACACATTGAAGATAGGAGTGCCTACCTTTACTGAACAGGAGTAATGGGCGCCTTTAAACAAAGAGCAGATTATTAGGAACAAAACATGCTATACCGCACATTTTGCAGACGGGGAGTTTGGGAAGCAGACAGAATGAGAAAAGAATGCAACAGACAAAATGACATACAGAAACAATATAATACCATGTATTTCACAGTTACAGTTAAAGACCACTATAGGCACCCAGACCACTTCAGCTTAATTAAGTGGTCTGGGTGCCTGGTCCAGCAAGGTTTAAACCTTTTTTCTATAAACATAGCAGTTTCAGAGAAACTGCTATGTTTAGATTAGAGTTAATCCAGCCTCTAGTGCAGGGGTAGGCAACCTACGGCACTCAAGGTGTCTTTTGCACGACACTCAAGGCTGCTAGAGCCAAACAGGCTCAGGCCTATCAGGAGTCCCAGTTATAGTTCAGATATCTGCTAATACGAAAAGGTGGTGAAGGACAATCCTCAATTTATGCATTGCAGCACGTAGAGGAAGTGATCTCAGATAACTCATATCACTTCCTCCCAGCGCTTGTAAATGGGAATCCACACTGTAGTAGAGCAGCCTGCAGCTGTTGTTGCAGCTCCTGTCCTTGACCTATACCTGGCCAGCCTGGCCCCCACTGGAACCTAGGGAAGCCACCCACATTGCTAGATATACACAGAAATGCACAATAACTCTCCCCTCATACAAATAATACAAACAGCCCACACACAAACATACACACAATCCGCACAAACGTAACCCGCACACAATCCACATACATGCACACAACCCCACATGCGATACCCCAAACAGCCCCCACACATACACACACTACCAAACACACAATGTGACATATCCATCCACACTGACAATTCCACAAGCAGCCTCCATACACAGCCCACAATCATATGTATCATACACGATACCACAAACTACTCCTGAACATATACAATATAATAGCTCATTTACGCACAAATACAATGAAACAAAGCAACTGCAGTAAAAATAACACAAGCAGAATACCACAACATACACACCTCAATTTAAAAAAAAAAAAAATAGGACAGGCACGCTACGGGACATCACAATTCCATATCGGCACATTGCTGCTAAAAGGTTGCCTACCCCTGCTCTAGTGGCTGTCTCATTGACAGCCGCTAGAGGCGCTTGCGTGCTTCTCACTGTGAAAATCACAGTGAGAAGACACCAGCGTCCATAGGAAAGCATTGTGAGGAGGCGGAGAGGGGGAGGACAGTCCCCCGCCCGGCGCTGGAGAAAGAGGTAAGTTTAACCCCTTCCTCCCCCTAGAGCCTGGCAGGAGGGTGACCCTGAGGGTGGGGGCACCCTCAGGGAGCTATAGGGCCAGGAAAACGAGTATGTTTTCCTGGCACTATAGTGGTCCTTTAAGTGTACCAACAGCACCAGCACGTTACGTAATGGCCAGTGTTCACTGCCATTTTAGGATTCATCAAATTGTTTCTTGTACAGGAACAATAACTAAGGGTTTTTACATTGCTATATTCACATAACAGAAGGAAGATTTGTCCTTTACAGATTAATGACCAGGCTTCTTTTGCTGTTTTTTCACTTAAGGACCAACGCAATGTTTGTATTTTTGCTGCGTGTGTTCAACCGCAAATCCATTTTTTTTCACTTATTGCTCAGACACACATTAGATATTGTTTTTCTAAAGGACAAAAGGTACTTTAATTTAAAGTGACATATACATATATCAAATTCACATTTATTATAAAAATAATCCAGTAAAGTGCTGTGATCAGTAAAGTACTGTGATACAATAAAGCAGAGATCATAGGGAAGGGGTTAAAATTGGGTTTAGAGGGTGAAAAGGAGTTTTAATTTATATAATATAATTACTATAAGCACACAAAGTAACTCTGATCAGTCTCTCACCACTTCACAACAAGATGTGGGAGGCAGATAAGACATCCTTCAGATATCCCAGGAGCACTGTAATCGATGTGACTGGCTGTCACAGCGATCACATGTGCTGGAACAGTGCCATTTGCGGTTGCTAATCTGCCTCGGACATCAAGGCACCCAAGTAATCGCATTAACTCCACGATCGCCGCAATCATTTGGCATTAATTCTAGTACATGACGGAATTATTCCGTCATTGATCCTCTTGACATGGACTGCCATGATGGAATAGTCCATCATTGGTCCTTAAAGGGAAACTATAGTGCCAGGAAAACAAACTCTTTTTCCTGGCACTAAAGCTTCTCCCTTTGTCAAGGCCCCCCCACCTCCCCAAACAGATAAGAACTAATGCGCATGCGCGATAACTGCCACGCTCGCATTAGGATCTCCCCATAGGAAAGATGACCAAAAGTCATCTTAGCACCCAGAAGTCCCTCTAGTGGCTGTCTAGTAGACAGCCACTAGAGTAGTAGTTAACCCTAGCAGGTAATTATTGCAGTTTATAAAAACTGCAATAATTACATGCGCAGGGTTAACGGTGATGGGAGTTTGCACCAAGACCACTTCAATGGACTGAAGTGGTTTGGGTGCCTACAGTGTCCCTTTAAAGAGTTAATGCATCAGTAACGTGAAATATCAAATTGCTATTTATATGCAATCTGGATAGTTCCAAGTATCTTGTGTTCATTTTTCTGTTTGCCCAGGGATGAGTTACCTCTTTATTCCATGATTATTTTTTTCAGGCTCTATGTACTTTTCTCATGCTGTTAAATACTATTTTGTTGACTGACCACTTTTAAAAGGAAATCGCATGGCTCCGATTTTGAAAAAGAGCACAAGGCTTCCTCCCGGTTTTTGCTCTTTGTGAGCGATCTGGCAGAAGATGTAAGAAATAAGTGAAAGTTAATGCGAAACACATGAGATGATGTCTGAACACGGAGCGTTTGTTGGACGCTCACATTGAATCTGAAGCTATAAAGAAGAGGGATGGGGGAAGGATTTCATGCGGTCCCCTGAATAGCTTGCATGTGTATGTAAGCAGCTCTCCATCTCGGATGGAAGGTCACCTTGGTGGAGATTCCACGCTCCAAGTGAAGGCTCCAGTTAAGACAGATTCCAGTAACTGTACACATCTTGTGGAATTACCAGTCATGGATGCTGAATTAGTAACCATCCATTCCACTGGTACTAGTTAGTGGATAACTACATAGTGCCAATAAAGGACATTGTTCCTCACTAATCTTTTAACAAATCCTTGGGGGCTCTAAGCCTGTAGATTAAAAGTGTTGTAGTTATACAAGACATTTATCCCCTGGGTTACGTTGGAGGTTGGTTCAAGATCTGCTACAATTTGCAAAGCGCAATAAGAAGTAGTTTAAAAATTAAATAAATCCTTTAAAACTATTGAACCTTTCCACCAATTGCCTTCTACAGGATCTCTCTGTGTCTCTCTAGTATGTTTTTATTATATATAATGTATAAAATGTATAGGGTGCTCTCCTAGCAGCATATGTAATTGCTCTGGTAGATTATTACCCCAAACGACAATCAAGCAAAGTCCAGATCTCTGTCGACTGCTTCTTCCGGTGACTAGTTTCGATTAATCTAGAAAAATTTCAAACATGTTGAAAGAAAAGAAAGAAAGGAGAGAATGTGGTTCCATCTAGTCATATGATTTTAGGTGGCCACGGCGCTTTAAGTCTGTCACTGAGAAACGCTGAATGTACAAAGTTAAAGGATCTATCTGACAGATGTGAGTTCTGTGCAAAAATGGCACACTTGGCATACTGAAGCCAGATAGAGCCAGTCCTCCGGGGCTTCTTTCCCCCTGCAGTGATCAGGCATGACGCCACCAGATGAGTTTCAGGATGCGAGAGAACTTGGCCTTAGTGACAGATAGCGGGTTTATGCTTTATTTCTTTTTTTCAATGATGTCATGGCCAAAAGAATACATAACCAGTGATGGCACATACCTACCTATAATGCATACCTACAAAACATGTGAGGACGCTTACTTAGTAACAGTAGTCTACAATGCCACAGAATCCCCTTCCTCAATGTTTTAGCAATCTGGGGGGGCTGGTAAATTTTATTCAATCTTTCTGCATTGACAATGTGGGAAATCTAGAACGCTATCTGCATAAAATAACGGTGAGGATAGCACAGATCTAGTTACTAAAAGGTTGCCACGACAACCAGCACTTCCGTTCTGGTCTTTCCCTCCAAATTTCACTGCTCTAGCTCGAAGTTCTGGCCTTCTTCGTCTCCAAACCAGTGCCGGTATTGCAAGACGCCGGCTTCAGCCCACGAAACCCAGCACGCTTACGTATGTACTCGTGGGAACATCCTTTCGTGGTGTTCCCACATTCGGGCCTACCGAACGAGGGGATTGGCTCCCTTTGTTTGCATACACTTTTACAGTTCGTTTACCGTTCATTTAGCTTTGTATAATTATACCTGTGATTCTTACTCACATTCGCGTATTTTGCTTGTTCCCATAAAACCCGTCCATTCACTTACTCTGTTCATTCGTTTGATTCAAGCCGTACGTTTGTGTACTTTACTGTTCGTACGTCAGTTGAATCATTTGCTTATTCGTTTAATTCTTATACTACTTAGATGCTGACACATTATCTTTTTAAATATTTGTTCACTTATTAGCACTTTACATTGTTTTAAATCCAACGCACAGTTCAATTCACAGATGCATTCATATGGTTTTACATGCACAATTTAAATGTAGTCTATTAAAACTTTTTCCAGTTTGTCTAGGATACCATTCACAAGATACTATTACTAAGTAGTCACACATGGTTGTTAATATTTACGTCCGCTCGATAGGTTAAACACTATTTCAGTATACATGTCTTCATATACACACACACATATTTATACACACATACACATATATACACATACATATATACACACACATTTTTTGACTAGAAATTTTGCCCTGGCGCCTGGGATTTGCCAGCTCTCTAGTTAGTGTGGCCACCAAGGGAGCTTTGATGGCGTCCGTCACGAGGAATATTGGAGGGAGCATGGAGGCGGCCGGCCGTCCTTGCCTGACGAGCATGGAAAGACCACAGGAAAGACCCACACAGCTCTCCCAAATGTAGGGAGGCTGAGTGTGTTTCAGTTAAAACAAAAATGTAAGAGTGTGTGTAAGCTTGTCCGAGTGTGTGTGAGCAAGATCCTGTCAAGTGTGTGTATGTGTATGTGTGTGCCTGTCAAGAGTGTGGGTATATGTGCGAACCTGTTGTCAGCGTGAGTCTTTATGTGAGCCTTTATGTGAGCCTTTTAGAGGGTGTGTGCATTCAGGTACCTGCCCCCTCCGATTGCATGAGGAAGGTGTTTTTACTCACCTTTTCCCCCCCTCCCCCTCCCCATTTTCCCACGCTGTGCCAGTTGCGCCATGGCTGAGATTACCAATCTTTATGATCTCAGCTAAGCCAATGCTTTCCCTTAGGAAAGCACTGGGAGGATTTTGTGCATGCGAAGCAAATGTACCAATCCGCATCTCCTCATAAAGATGCATTAAATTAATGAATCTCTAGGAGGAACATTCAGCGCCTCCATGCAGAGCTTGGAGACACTGAACCTGGGTGCTGCACGTGGTACAGCAGTGACCCAGGACTCTCTAGTGGCAGTCTGAGTGACTGTAACTAGAGGGGTTACTAAGCAGAAATGTAAACTCTGTCTTTTTTCAGAAACGGCAGTGTTTACACTGAAACGCTTGCAGGGACAGGCTATAGACACCAGAACAACTACATTAAGCTGTAGTGGTTCTGGTGACAATAGTGTCCCTTTAACAATTGCATTTTCTCGTTGAAAATGACTGGCTCCTAAAATTTGTCAAGCCCTGTATTACCTCAACTCGGTACTCATGTTGTTCTATCATACCACGTATTTCAGGTGTCTATATCAATTGTTAGCAATTTTGCTAGTGAAACCTATGACAGAGGTGTTCTTCCAGCAATATTGTTTCAGGTATTTTAATTTCCTTACGTTCATATATTTTGTTTAACCGGTACATTAAAGCCGCGCTCTCCCTTTTACATTTACACGTTAAGTTAAGAGACTTGTCTCGTTGCATCGGACCCACGTTTAGGTCCTCAATATGTTATATCCTTACAAGGATCTTCTGTTGTACTGTTTTCCAGCTTTGACAATTGCTACTTTAGACAAACTAAGAAACAGAGAGTTACTCCAACAACTATCAGGTAATTATTAATTTCTCTTAAAATCTTTGGTAAAATATATGCCTCCTTTTACTCAAACGTATCTACATTTATTTAAAGGTGCACTTAACAGACCACTCTCTGGTGATAGTACACTCTAATCAGCTCTGATTAGGGTACGTTCTGTATATATACACCAAGCTATAATCCAGTACTTCACTTGTCATAGGTTAATCGATCTTTTTCAGATAGGTGTCATTTCCAGCTACATCCTCACTCTAGCTTTCCCGCTCGGTTTCTATTTTTCAGCCTAGGCACGTCCGGTTACGTTATGATTCCCAGGAGGCCAACTCCCAACCTCTCGCGGGGGTATCGCCCACACAGCCCCACGTTAGGTTAATTGCCTCATATCACCTTCTGCAGGGGTTGTTTTGAGTGTTACTTGCCACGACCATACGCATTTTTACTCCGTAATGTCACAGAGAGGCCAACATCCCGCCAAACCGATTTGTAGCCACTTTTCCCCACAGGCCAAATCATAGGTAGAGCCTCTCTTCGCCACTTGGCAATTCGCAGGGATTTACCGGTCACGGGGCAGTTAAGTTCTTCGCCACCGGCACTAGCTAACAAGCCAGTTCTATATAGGGGATATCACCATTGGCTTTCAAAAACTTATTTAATTTACTAATCTCTTTAAAGGATGTCGCAAGAATCAATCCAAGGAGCACTCCTCTCTCCAGGGCACTCCTTCCAGGCCCAGCACGCCTGTTAGACGAAGCTCACCCGCTGAATGTCTTATTTCAGCTACCCCCGGGTCTCTGATGCTAGACCATTCCTGATCTGACAGCAGAACTACACTGTAGCAATGTTACTTTCCCGGTCACAGCTAGGAAAGCAGAACTGTATAAGCTACTAGCGATCCAGTCCAGCTCTCAGGAGTCCCATGCCAGCAGTTTGTTCAAGACACCTTGTCTTCTATCTTGTCTACCCTTCAGTCGCTTAACGAGAGGATGACCAAGATAGAAACCATCATCCCTACGGTTATCAACACATCTGACGTTCCAGCCTCTGCACCCTCAAACACACAGGTTAGTGCCATTGCGATTACTCCCCCACTACACACGTCATTGCCGCTGCACATTCGGTTCCAGCTTCCATTAAGAAAGACATTCTAGATGGCAAGGATGTCCTCCTAGTCTCTCTCATGGTTTCGCAAGACATTTTAGAAAATAGAGCTTTAAATTACGGAGATATTTCCGTGATCCTCAAAACAAGGGACCCACATCTTAACAATAACACTTCCATCCCCGAATTCGTTATCGGCTTTGGACTATACAGAGATGTCATCTGCTCTGTATGGCCCCAGAGGCGAGAGAAATGCGACCTCTATTTACACAAGGTGGTGGATCTAGGGCACAAGTATGGGGGTTTCGCCTTCTACGATTACCACAAGGCGGTATTATCTAAGGCAGCAGCAGCTCTGGCCCAGTCCAACACTCTTATCGATTGGAGTCAGTTGGACACAGAGCTGTTCTGCAGGCATTTTGTGGCTTGAGACCCCCATCTTGTGCAGTTTGTTCCTCTCTCTCACACTCCTCCAACTTGTGTCCCTGCAAAGCAGACCCCTCTACATACCACCCCTCCACCACCCCCTTCGTCAGTCAGGATAGGGGCTTGGTAGTGCCTTTGCGGTTGTAACATCACTGCTGATTTGGGATTTCTGTGGGAAAAGCAAGTCTTATGGCTTGACTGGTGTGCAGATTTTTGTTTAGCATTGTATTAACTATCCACATACTTCAGGTGGAAGGGGTTTTCAATCACAATTTTTCCCCACCATAATCTATTTGGATCTTGCTTCACAAGCACTACCAAGCCTCCATAAGCAAACCAGTAACCAACCTCATGCTGAAGAGTTGCATTAACAACGAAACAGCTGTCCATGAGTGGTTCACTGGTTTTGCATCTTATCCTAAATTGTGTTCCAAGCAGTTGTATACTGCAAACACAAATTAAAAGGAATCCATGTTTAAAATGGAATGAGGCAAAAATGTGATTCTTTGTTAAACTAATTTGCATATGCCCACCCAGAATCCTTTGCGGTTGTAACATCACTGCTGATTTGGGATTTCTGTGGGAAAAGCAAGTCTTATGGCTTGACTGGTGTGCAGATTTTTGTTTAGCATTGTATTAACTATATATATATATATATATATATATATATATATATATATATATATATATATATATATATATATATATATATTTGTGTTAAGGGCTCATGATAGTACAGAAGATACAAACACTGATAAGTATGGGATAGTGTGAAAGAGCAAGTCGGTTGTGGTGTGCCGGAACCGACGATGAGGTAGGCCTGTAAATAAAGAGGGCCCACCAATAAGAAATGTATGAGAAAAAGGAGTTCATAAAAAGGAGTGGGTGGGAGGGTGATGCAGCGCTGACCTCGAACGGTATGGAGCCAGGTAAGGGGTGTCCCTTAAGTAGGGAGAAGGTGAGTCATACGCCCCTCCCACAATTACAGGCCAAAAGGCCTTAATACTTGTGTTAAGGGCTCATGATAGTACAGAAGATACAAACACTGATAAGTGTGGGATAGTGTGAAAGAGCAAGTCGGTTGTGGTGTGCCGGAACCGACGATGAGGTAGGCCTGCAAATAAAGAGGGCAAAAAGTAGAAAATATACTTTATTACGAAACGAGCAATATACATACTTCAACCAGACATATCTTGAAAGGCATTTCTAACTTCTTGTACCGGGTTAGGTATGTATCTAGAGTATGCAGAAGACTTCCAGCGCCCTAGTGACTTGATAACATGTACTGGAATGTTTGCACTGGACGCTGTGGAGGCCGCCCCTATGCGGAAGGAGTGGCCCGAATAGTTAGCTGATTTTAGTCCTAGTTGTGTAAGTAGGGACCTGACGTGGGTCATGAAGGTGGTGGTAGTGAGTACCGAACCTTGTAGACAGAAAAGTGGTTGAGATGGTGATGCTTTGAAATGCTGAGTATAGGTGTCCAGTAATGTGACGGGGCACCACACGTTGTGGGTAGGATAGTATCTAACCTCTACCGGGGGTGCGTGTTGATTGGTTTTGGAGTGATGCAGAGTTAAAATATAGTAATCCATGTGTTTCGTTAAGTGTGAATGAAGCAGAATGTGAGTGGACTGGGATGTGTTGATGGCGGTAAATTCTCTTGGTCTCAAGAAACCATAAAAAGCTACGTATATGGCGGTTTTTATAACAAGGTTTGTGTTGTTCGCAAAGGGTTTTGAATCTAGTAGGCTGGATAAATCCTTGAAGATATTGAAGTCTATAGGTAGCCTTTGCGCGGTACGTGGGGGTTCGGATCTCTGGATACCTCTAAGGATGTTTTTTATCTGGTAGGAGGACATGAAACTTGTGTTGTTTGGTTGTAATGTTAGCATGTGATGTTGTATGCCTGTCAGATATAGCTTGATTGTGTTGTAAGATAATTTAAGTTTGAGGTGGCAAAAAGAAGCAAAACCTAACAAAGATGTCATGATGAAAGGTTGTGTGACGTTGTGCAGTGACAGAATCTTTTAAATAGAAGGAAAGCCCTGTCATATGTTCTCCGGGTATTGGTGGACAGTGCTAATTGTGCCAATGTCCTGCTATGTTGCATAATAGCTTCTAGTCCATGACTAGCTGGTGGAAAGGTGGAGTGGTCGTGGCTGTACGTGCGGCTGACGGAAGTATTTGCCGAAAAGCCTGAAAATTGAAACGAGACAAACTGTCAGCAGCCGTGTTACAAACACCTGGGACATGGACACAAAACAAGAAGAAGTTATGGCATGCAGCCAGCCAGGTGAGTTTCCTCAAGAACCTCATAATGGTCAGTGACTTGGATCGGCCTTTGTTTATGATGTGGCAGGTAGCTTGGTTGTCTGAGTGGCAACGTACTGACGAACCTGCCCATAGATGCCCCCATGTCACGGCAGCTGCTACAATGGGATACATCTCAAATAGAGCTGAGGTAGTGGAAAACCCTTCCAGGTCCTGTACCTCTGGAGGCCAACTACCCCAAAGCCATTCATTCCCGTAAATTGCTGCAAAACCTGTGGTAGCCGCCGCGTCTGACCAGATGGTAGGTGAGGAGTCAGACAATTTAGGGAGAAACATGCTTTTCCCATTCCAGGTGGTCAAAAAGTTTCTCCACATAAGTAGGTCTGCCGTGGCTTGGGTATCCAGTGGTAACCTGTGTGCATCATGTCTAAACAGTGGGAACATGGTTAGGAGCCGTGAGATGAAAGCCCGGCCTTGAGGTATAATGCGCATGGCAAAGTTCAGTGACCCAAGTAGAGACTGCAATTCTTTGCGATTGCAAGTACCGAGGTGTATGTAGAGGTTAATGTTGGTGAGAATGTTCTCTATCTTGGTGCGTGGCAGGCTGGCTTGCATGGTGGCTGAGTCTAGCATGATTCCCAGAAAGGTGATGACTGTATCTGGTCCTTCAGTTTTGGTGGGGGAGACTGGAACACCCACCTGTTTAAAAAGACTGATGGTTTCTATGAGGCTACTGGGAGGGGAAGTGTTCTCTTCGATCAGTAAGAAATCATCCAGGTAGTGTATAACTGTAGGGCATCTGGCTACATTTAATAATAACCAGCATAATGTTTCGGCGAATACGTCGAAAATGGCCGGACTACTTTTTGAACCAAACGTTAGGCGTGAGAAAAAGTAGTAGTGCCCGGCCCACTTAATGCCATGCAGGTGCCATAGTGTAGGGTGGATAGGCAATAATTTGAAGGCATTTGTAATGTCAGTCTTGCTGAGCCATGCTCCGACCCCTGCCTGCATGATAGCTGTAATGGCGTGATCTATGGTGGAGTATTGAAGTGAAAATTCCTCAGAGGGGATAAGGGAGTTCAGACTAGGTGAGGCAGAGGTGTGAGGTGCAGACAGATCGATGATAAGTCTTTGTTTGTGGGAAGATTTCCCTGTGACAATACCGATGGGGTTTGTCCGCCATGTGGAAAAAGGAGGGGACTGAAAGGGTCCCAATAGGAAGCCCTCTGCCACTTCTTTGGCTATGAGTGTGCTAACCGCTGTAGGGTTTTGTTGTGCAGATTGTAAATTAGGACATTCAAGGATTCCTGAAGGCATGTGTATGAGACCAGTATGGAATCCTTGTGATAGACCAGTGATGATGAAGTCTACCAAATGTCTAGATGGATGTCGTGACAGTAATGCCGTGAGTACAGAAATATTTATCTCAGTTAAGTATTGCTTTAGGGTACATTTTATTTGGACACATGGTTTTCGCATGTGCCCTAAAACATTTTGAACATATATGCAATAACCGACAACCGCTGTAATTACATGCACCGACATTGAAATTATTACATATTTGGGACTTCCCCAAAAACTTGATAGGTCGACCCAGTTTGTCTTTGGGTGTTCTCTCTGCTGACACAGCGGAGCTAGTGCCCTGCGAGGTGGTAGGTTCGTTCGCAGTGGTCGGACAAAAATTGGCAGTATGAGCCATGGAGGAGCAGTGTGCACAGGCCGGTGCTCTTAGACCTGCAAAGTGCCTGCAAAAATGATCGTATCAATCTTACTCCAGTTGGACCTTGTCCCGTACTGTGAGAAGGCGCCAGACACTTTGGCAGAAAAAGATCTATGGTAGTCATAGAAAGCTGACC